GCTGCAGCAGCAGAATCTTCTCTCGCATCACATTTTAAAATGAATTTGCTGTTATTTGTGAGCTCTCTTCACTTGCTGCACATCCCCTCCTTTGGCCAGTCCTTCTATTTGCCCGAACGTTAGGACTGTTTTTTATTTTGTCACGTTCTAAAAAAAAAAAAATCCAAGTCTTTCAGGATAACTTCTGCAGAAGTATTTGTATGCTGCTCAAAAGTAGTCTATCTAGACTTCTTTTGCCATTTTGGCAGCACCAGTTCAGTTTCTTGAACTGTCAGAATGTAACATTTATTCGTCATAATGGCTGGAGCTGACAAAAGTGAAGAAAGCAATGTTAGCAACCATAAAAAGCTTCGAGTAACAGTTGTAATAGTTAATGTAGCAGGCTCGGCTGAAAAGCATTCCTTGATGCGACAGCAGTTCCACGTATACTGTCATTGCTTTTAGCAGTAAAGGTGGCGTGATAAAGCTGATAGGAACCTTGCTCAGATATAAACTTGTTTCACCATGCCCTCTCCTGTCATTTAAAGGAACACAAAAGTCAAATAACAATTCATGTCACAGTGAAAGCTCAATGTATGAAAACATCTAAAACGACAATATTATCAAGAACAGTGTCTACTTACCGAGAAATAAAGGTAAATGCACAATAACAGATGCGCCGCAGTAGGACATTCTCAAAATGATCCCGATGACATTAGACGGACCGCCTACAATTAACCACTAGTAATCGATCTAGCTGCACTAATAAAGAACCTTCCATGCATTAAGAGATGCAATTAAGTGCTGTTTGTTCGTTTTTGTTTGATTCATGGAAAGAGAGAACCGCCGGACGTTACTATGGGGAATGACGTGAGTGGTTCAATAAATCGCTTTTTCGCGTAGTTACACTAGACAGTTGGTGCCATCTAGTGGGGCGCAGTTAAACCAAAAAAATTCTGCAATCTCGGAGCTAATGTTGGGAAATTGATCAATGGCCATTGTTGCTGCTGTGGCTCCCGCTGCTTTCGGTCTGCTGCTACTAGCACAGTAAAGCCGGGCAACGTTGTGCACGGCAACAGTGACGTGAGTTGGTCCGATCTGTCTGCTTCTTGAGGCGGGTAATTTGAAGTGCGCTAACCTGATGCGGACCACTGAAACAAGGTTTTATTTCAAAATAAGCCCTTCCTTGGCACAAAACTAAAGCTACGAAGTTTCTGAACCGCTATTGCAACAATCAACGTCGACTTAATAGTTGCCTTTAGTGTTCCTTTAAGCCTGCTGGAGTGCTTTGAAATCAACATCCTTCAAACCAGTCTTGTGCCGTTATATCATGCTCACCTGTTTTTCAACATCGTCAGTTTTGAAATATGGTCACTTTGAAGTGGGGTGTTGTCCTTTGCCCGCGACATGCACGCAGCACTTGCTTGTGGGACCCACTGCAGCACATGGTTGATTGTTAGCTGCACAGCGTTGGCTCTCTTTTACTCTAGTTTGTCATGCCCTACACCTTTTTGTGTACCTTGCTTGCACTGCACCATCCTGGCACTGTCTATGCCTGCCTCGGTTGTTTTTCTTGTCCCCGTGCTGAAGTGGCCTGGTTCTTTCAGTACATAGTATGTTATAAATGTACTGAGTGGGGATGCTGTCCTTCAGATTGCTGACACTGCTGCTTGCACCATCAACTGTATTGCTTTGCTGTGCTTTATTCAGCTCAATGCTGAACTTTGGTAGCATATTGTCAAGATAGAGAGGCGGAGCTTTATTGTTGCCTTCAAATTTATAATAGTATATAGATATATTTTTGGCATGTTTGATGCATTGTTGCCTGAAAGCAGCTTGTTTATTTTGTGTAATGTGCTACGATATGGCTTATGTGTGCCCCATTAAGTTACTAGAATTGTCGAGCAATGGGCATTCTAGCAGTGATACTGCCGCATTGCATAATAGTAGCTAAATGAACTTGCCAACATTATGTGATGCTGTGGTGAAATTTCTGTTGGAGGAGAATGCTTCTCACAAGAGATCACAGGTTCAGCTCTGGTGGCTACACTTCAGTGGAATGCAGAATGCTAAACAAACAATATTTAAGTGCAATCTTGCTACCCGAAGGTGACCACAACAAATTTAGGGCCCTTCCCATTGACGCATGGGCACAATAGTTCTAGACAAATGTCACCCAATTAAGCTGCATGTCACATGTGACGATGACGTTGCATTGAAGTTCCCGCGCTAGCTTGGTGCGGCATCACAAATTTTGCTGTCATTTTTGTATGGCCTAAAAACACCTTATTGGCAAAGTTTAATTACCCTGTGTTCTAAGCAAGCCAGGTACCTGACATACTAGTTTCAGGAAATTCTATGCCAATAGGGTCAGAATAAGAAAGATGTTAAAATCTGGTACAGGGCATGGGGGTGAAATGCAAATCTGTGTGTGATTACACATTCTTTTATGATATATGATTTAGGTGTGTGTTGAAGAACCGTTTGGTCAGTCTGGTTTTCCAGCTACGATGCGCCTCATAACCGTGCCATGGTTTTGGCACATAAAACCACAGAAATAAATATTCGGGTACTGAGCTTTTGGCATAGACTTTAGTGTCTTTTCAAGGGATATCTTGGTTCTTGTAATTCTATACAACACTTTTTTCACCCCTCTAATCTCTTTGCCCACAGAAGGTTGATGGAGCACAACTCCTGGAGCTGACCAAAGAATCTGTCATGGCCCTGACCGACATGAAAGTGGGGCCTTCGCTCAAGATCTTTGACCTGATTCAGCAACTCAAGGCAGAGTTTAAAGGCAAGGACTGCCTCAACTGAAGTTCACTTGCCAAAGGAGGGGCCTCCCGCCACTCTCACGTTGCTGAACCGGGGTCAGAAGACAATCCCCACTTCCGCTATAATTTTAAAACATCGTTTCTTTCGTTGATATTTGATTTGTATTACGCATCAAGGACAATTGTTTGGCCTTAATGGCCTGTGCTTACATTTGTGTTTTATAGACGAGTGCAATTCGTGATGTGCAGAAGAAATGGTGCACCACTTTCCCATTGTGTTTCTCTCAGTTGCTGAATGTTTCCAAGTAAGCGGCTTTTCTTTTTCTTCCACCTCTTTATCTACTGTATGCGTTGCGTGTGAATTAAGTTCAAGTGCAGTGTCACATATGCACAGTGCAGGTTGTGAAGCTATCCACGTCCAAGTTTCACAGAGGGCACCTATTTGCAAATAAATTGAGCCTTTTGAAACAAGTGATTTTACGACTGGTCTTCTCACCATCATTGGAGTTGTCAAGATGCTTGTACACCAGGCACTGTACACAGAGAGTTGAAGGAGCATTTGCTTCTTGATAATCTCTTCTGCAGCTCAATTCCACCTTTGCAGCTTGTTTTTGGGAGCATATACTGACATATTTATGCATATATCAGCCAGTGAAGAGGTTTTACTCATTGTGCCATTGGGATGTAGTATTTTTCTGTTGAAGAGCTTGGGGGGGGGGGGGGGGGGCATAGAGAATTGTCTGTGCTGAACTATTTGGTTGCAACGGAAATACGGATTTGTTATACCTATTTCCAAATCATTTTATTTTAAGCGGCATAATCAAACAGAACCACATGCAAGTAGTGAAACTTCTGTTTTACAACTGTTGTACAAGTCCTGTGGCTGCTACAAAGGAAGGCCTCATTCATTTTTCAGAAAGCTGACATATTGAAGCTCTGGTATTCTATATGTGTAAGCATCTCTTAAGGAACTCGCTCGCTGGATTTTGTGCCGACCGCTTGTGCCCTCGCGATCTCCGACGTCAGCGTAGCTCTGGCTGACTGGGCTGGCCCTACGTCACCTCCTGACGCCGATCCCCGACGACAGCGTAGCTCTGACCTACTAGACTTGCCCTACGCCATCTACTGACGCCGACAAGAGCTCTCGCAAGTGGTGCCCGGTCCTCTGACTCCTGTGACCGTGTTTCCATCTTTTCTATCTCTCCTATCCCCTCGATATGTCCTCGCTCGCTGTCCCAGCGCATCTCTCTCTATATATATACCTTTACTTCTATCCTTTTAATCCCTCCTCACCCCCATCCCCTGTGAGCTACTGTTGAGGTGTCGCACCCTTATGCAGACAGTTACGGGGCTTACTTTTCTCTTCTTTTCCCTCTTATAACCACATCTCTTTAGTGGTGGTGATATTTACCTGCTTGTCCAGGGGCACCGAGAAAAGTTTCAAATTCGTATCACTTGAAAGGCTTGAGGACTATGCAAGCAGCACCAGTTCCAAGAAGTCTGCTGCAATTGTTGTTCCAAGGCCAGCTGGCAATTAATGTCTTCAGATTCATGAAAGAGTGTTTTTTCATCTGCCCTCATGGGTCAGCCAATATGTCAGTAGGCTTAGTGCAGCAGAAAGTCGAGCTAATTTGTACAGAATCATGATATAGGGGGCATTATGCTGCAAAACACGAGACATTTTGATTCTGGGTGCAGCAGCCAGGTTTCGGCCTAAATGAAGTGCTGGTGTACTTAATCCAGATGGTCATGAAAAACATGTAGTTGTTCAAAGCCTGTTGAGGTGCCTACTTCGGCAACGCTCATAGACTGTGCTCATAGACTGTAGCTTTGGTGCATTAATTTTCGATTGGAAGGTTAAGTGGGGCCTAACAATTCAACACCGAACTATGCAGAGTGGCCCTGATGCCCCTGTCAATTACACTTTAGTAGTGCAGACTGAATCTTGAAGCTTGCCAAAAAAATTGCAAGGTCCTGCTTTGGCATTAAAGTGAGAATGCCTCAGCCACCAATTGGAATCGCCGCTTTGAAATTCAGCCACTTTGGCCTTGCACTGTAGCAGTTATTTCCCTTCAGTTCCAATCCTGTTGCACATCACATTCAACGTTTGAGTCCAGCAACAACCATGGAAATGACATGCAAGAAAGGTTATGAAAAATAACTTTTGCCAAGGGAGGTCTGTGGCCACTGAGGCCAGATGCAGTGAAGGACATCATTTAGTAGACATCACTTATGACATGACGAAAATTAGGTTTCATGATTTTTAATAGCATTCCCATATAAAACAAAATAGTCAAAGCAATGCACGACATTGAAAAATACATAATAAAAAATGTTTCTCTAAAATCGTAAGCTATATCAAAAACTTATTCACAGATCTACAGCTGTCGTGTCATGTAAAGATATACAAATCAAGAAAACGCACATTAAAAAATAGCGTTTAAAGTTCACACATATATCTCAAAAGTGGCAAGTGAGAATTGGAAGCAGTACATCTACCAAAAAACTTTGTGACCCTACATTGTCAATACAAAATGTACAACTCCTTAATAACAATAAAAAATGGTGGTTTCTGAGATAGCTCATTAGCGTAATGATAGAAGCATTATAACTATCACTGCAGATCATCAAGAATTCGGGACACTACTAACAATAATATGCCAATCTTGTGACATCAATTGACGGTGGTCTTCGAACAGTAACCTAATGTTGCGTTGGATTGAGGGAACCAGATATTGCACTAAAGTGTGAAATAGACAAGCATTCGTTTTAAGATTAATATGGGCTGTATTTCTAAACGCGTTGATATTTATTCACTGTAGTAGATTCCAAGAAGTTAATGTCGTGGCCATTGTCATTCATTCAGTTAGGACGTGGTGTCAAAGAAATGCCCTATGCAAATTGCTACGCTATTTTCACTTAAACAGGGGAAGCAGCATGTGCTCATTTACAGCTACATTGTTGCTACCTGCAAACAAATTTCACACCTAGCGGCAACAGTCACGTAGTAACAAACCACTCTCGCCAGATGAGTTGGCAACGACAGGCATTTTGGTGTTATTACAACTGCTACGAGAAGATTCACAGTAGAAAAAAAGATCATCCCAAAAGTCCCCATGCGATCCACTTCGTGCTTGTTTAAGAAAAGCTGTAAGCACCGATGACGATGAGCGCCATCTGCTGTTAAATTCAGTGCAGTCCAGATTTCAGCAAGACGCTTCCAGTCCCAAGCGCCTGCAGGGCTGTTCCTGAAGAAAGGAAACATCTGCATTCATAACAAGAAGTCTTCAGCATCATTAACTATGAAGGCTAAATAAGTTCCCCATTATGGTGAACTGTTAAGGGGACTTCATCCCCAATGCCATGAGACACAGCATTGCACACAATGCCCGCTTACTTGGCGCCGCTATCATACATGACTGTGGCATAAAGGCAGGCGAGTCATTGTTGTTCCACTACAAAATTTGCCACATTCTCGAACAAAATAATGATGAAATTATCACCATGTCAGTGACCGAGTTGGGAACAGTTGCTGCTTATCAGTTCCTGCTTTTCAATGTTTGCCCCAGGCTTGTTTGGCATGCATAAAAATAAATCGTTAACAATAATAGTGTGTCCCACAAAAGGTTTTGTGTTTCAGAGCAAACACAGAAAAAAAGATCAAGGAAACCACCCTCTGTAGAGTTTTGTCCCTTGGATTTTCACAAATATAAAAGTTCAAAGGTTCACTAGCATATCAATTCGAGACCTGAAGAATTCAGGTATGTTCACGGGGCGTTTTCGAGAAACGGAGATGAGCACAAAGTGCCCAGGTTTCTGGACGCACCTCGTCAGAACCCATTCATCTGCTCCTGCGACGAAACACGGCTCCATGCTTTCAGCATGTACCTGTAGCCTCTGTAATAGGCACTGCATCAGACTGGGACTTCTGCAGGCTGCCCTACACAGCAGTCCGCTCTCTTGCCTCCATACAGCTGCAGACACGGGGTCGTCGTCAATTGTAAGCCTCCGAGCAGTCCAGAGGCCAGCACTACACGTCAGTGCACGGTACCTGATATCCTCGCAGCTGACAAGTTTAAGTAATGCCTCCTAAAGAAGAAAATGAGAATACTTCTCACAAGTAGGGCAATGACTACCTTGAAAGTGACAATAACAGAATAAACTCGGCCATCATTGCCTCATTCCTCAGACAGTGGAAAACTGCAAACTCAACTGCTCTGTTCGTAGTGCATAAATAAAATTGAACCTAGGGCTGTGATGAATGACTAGCAAACTAATGAGCATACTTATTCTGAATGACTTATTCTGGACACACTAGATTTACATGCTGCCATCTAACACATTCATAGAAAACTCAATGTATGTCTCTACTGTCGTGAGAGACGACACCGTAAAATGCTGAGCAAGAAGAGCCCCCTCCTTTTACCAGGTGTTCCGAAATAAGCCCCAATGACCAATCCGGGACCGAACAAGTGCCTTTCTCTCAAATCTGGTCGGATTATCCCTCACCGCAGGGAGGGCGCTTGTTCGGCATTTTACGGTAAACTTCTTCTATAGGCAACATAAGGAAAATTGTTAGCAACTGTGCCTGCATAATGATGTCATTGCCCTCGTTTCACGCATTTTTTAGCACTCTTATTCACATGTCATGTGAAAAAAAAAAATATAACAAAATTGGGAGTCCTTCCCATCGAGGAAATAAGGGAAAACGAAGCAAAATGGCAAGTGCATACTTGACCTACTATTCGTCTATCGCATTGTGCAATGCTCAATCCTCACTTTTTCCTTCCCACATGCTGGGAATTACGACATTCCTTTGGTCATATGTGGCACAACAAAATGCATCAGTGAAAGGCAACAATGAAATGCAGAAACATGAACTGACAAGTGCCTTTGATAAAAAGATTTGATTTCCACATAAGACGCAGCTGATCGCTTGCAAGCGCACGATCAAGGGAGCATCAGTTACTGGAAAACGATGCATAGAAATATGTATGCAATCGACGCTCCTTCTATGGCTGGTTTGTGTGTACCTGCATTTTGGTACACATCACCAGTACCTGGTTCTTAACGAATTGTGCCACTGCCACTGAAAACGTAACTTCGAGAAGCTTTGCTTAATAGTACAATAAAAGCTGCCTACTAATCCGAACTCCACTTAATTCAAACAATTTTATAGTCCCCTTCAGTTTCAATTAATGATATTCTACTGTATTATTAATCCATCAGTATGTGCACTAAATAAAAAAAAGTCACGCTTTAATTTATTTGAGCACAGGGCAACACCGCGAATTTGCGTGACGTAAAAAAGATGTAAATCCCTGACTTGTGAAAAGTATTGCAAAACAAGTTGGCAAACAAAATTTAACTTGCACTCTTTTTTTTTTTTCTTTTCCGCTATTCTTTGAAGCAGCCAAGCAATCGGAATGAATCACAAAACAACAAGTTCGAAAGGTTGAGTGCAGTCATGCCAATATAATGAGGCTACTCACAGGTGAATTTCTCACCAATAGGTCTAATTGTTTATCCAGTGCATTTCTGTAAAAGCAAGTAGAAGTTTAAGTTGCAAACAGACTCCTTAACATCAGACCTCACAAGCGAGTGTTGTTTACACTTTTACATATTCATGAAACATATTTCAATCATTCCCACTGAACAGCATTTCTATGCTTTTCATATCGAAATTTCATACACTCGGACATTTAGACATGTTTAAAACATTGTAAACACCAGAAATAAGCAAAAACCTGCCTGTCAATAGCAGACATGTTATACCATGATGCATTCTCAAATAGAGAGTTCTCAGTTTGAAAGCAATGCATGATGATTTGTGTGTACAAATCTGTACATCTGTGTGTACTTCTTGTGCATACGTAGTATTTTGTTCTCGGCTCATTCAGGCTTATTTCTGAGGTTTTACCACTAAATATCATGAAAGCACATTTCAATCATAAAATATGTTGAAGAGAAGACATTTAAATTTATACAGCTACAGCCAGATATTATCACATTCAGTTTGTCTTCCCTTATGTGAGAGAAAAAAGCTGGTCGCCAAGAGATACTGTGTACAACACATGCTTGATAAGATCAGATAGAGGAAAACTGGGCAGGGCGAATTGCCTGCAAATTTCGCAAGATTTGTGCTCAGTAGCAAGAACTGAGTCGTGCTGGCACAACAAAATAACGAATCGGTTTCAATCAAACAGTGGAAGAACACAACACATGCTTACCACCTACCCAGAAAGTCGGAACAGCTTTTCCATGAGCATTTGGGACTCTCTCTGAAATTCGGGTTGTTTGACCTCCTTTTCTATGCTTAAATCCTTCAGTATTGAGTTGATCACAAATATCTCGCACATCACCTGAAGTGCAATCAAAGTTATGCTGAGTGAATAAGTGACAACTTCATTCTTTTACTGAGCTACAGCACACTTCACTAGCCTTGTTAGGGAAGCTATACATGACAGGCAAATGTAGAATGAAGCATACAACTTGTCTGATTTACAAAAGGAAACAGCAACAAAAGATACCACATGAAAGTCGCTGAACATTATACAAGCTACTATATCTGAGTAATGCATGCTTAACCAAAAATGACCTTCCCAGCAGTAGCTGAACTGTGGCATGTCGAAAGCTAAGAGCAAAGCAACAATTATGGTTGATTATATTAAAAGATTGCACACAACTTTTTACGTCAATCTTCATCTGTGACAACAGCAACTCTGAAAGTAGGAAAACACGTTTCTACCTGCCCTACCACATTAATACGGAACACTAATAGCTGCATGTCAGCGTGCGTGCAGTTCATGGTGAGCACTTTCGTACATATACGTTATGGGAAAACACCAATGTCTCATTGTCTGGTGTAAACGGTTACATCGTGTGAATGAATACCGCAGCCCAAGTCATGCTGTTGGTGCAAGGTGCAATACTACCAGTTATTGCGGGGCAATTTAGATATGACAAATTCTTTAGTACATATATGTCTCCAAAGTGTGCTTTGTCATTCTTGTTTTCTGGTCCAGCAGCAGTCTATAGCAAATTTTCGTAGGGATACTTTTGTTCTAAATACTGTATTGCCAAATGAGTTAACGTTTATTGACTAGCCGTCTCTGAAACACATCTTTGGTCATGCATTGTAGTGACCAACGGTCGGAACAGAAGCATTGTTTTTTTACTTGTCTTGTTAATGTACAACGGGGACGTGGGAGAGGCAACGCGTCTGAATGATTGACTTTTCTCTTGTCACAGCAGGCCAGGAAAATATGCGGTGCCGTCTTATTTTCTCTCTTAAATCTGGCCCGGCTGGTACAGACATGAAGCACATTACCTCCAACCATGGCTCGTGTGCCAGCTCGGACTCCAGTATGATCTGAACAGTTCCCTTTCTCAACAAGGGGCACTGAAGAAGTTCCTGCGGTTCGTACAAAAAAAAAAGGTAGTTTTTACTTTCCTCCACTCTATCAAGTAGGCGCGCGCGGTCGAAGCTCACCGCCACTAGCAGTTTCGACGAAAGTTCGAGATCGTCGAAAGTCACCACTCTGCGATCGGGTGTCGCCCTACTCATGTCCTTCAGCATCATCGCCACGTAACTGGCGTAACCTTTCGTGATGGCTTCGTGGTGCACCTGTAGAAATGGCATGCAAGACAATTTGCGTCGTTAAAAACGTGTACTGCGCACGCACTCGTTAGTTTTATCAATGACGTCCGTTGTTAAAACAGTACCTTCTCACAGTACTTGGCCCACTGGATGCTCCTCTCTAGCGAGATTCGAGTCCAAAGTGGCTCATCGTGAGCCTTGACGAGTACAACGTGAAAGAAATGGTGTATATTCCTGGCCACGACTTCCATGGGGAACGCCGCTCAGCGCGTGTGTGTTGGTTGTTCCTTGGCGACCTGGCACAACCCACCGCAGGGGATCGACTATGAAAGTGTTTCTCTATTGTCCGTCATCGTCTTCGCACTTTTTACATTAGTTCCTGGTGCCAAGGCATTCACGAATAAGAGTCGTACTCACAACAACGCGCCAAATACAAGCAATGCAACATGCTACGCAAAGCACGCCAAGTTTTCGCGCTCTTAATTGTCGATGATGCTCCATGGCGAATATGAGACGAACGAAAGTGGACGTCAGCTTACAAAACTGTACAAGCGAGTCAAACCAGCCGGCAAATATAATCTAAATATCTCAATAGAAACTCTTTAAACCTAAAAACTTACATATTGTGAAGTGATTAAATCAATTTTACACAGACTTTACCGCGGCTTTTAGTATCGTCTGCTAGCTGTTAGGAGTACGGTTGGGAGCACCAACTGCAGCGCACTGCCGCACGAGGTAACAAAAAACGCTATTTGCCATAAATTTGGGTGACATGAGAAACAAAGACACGTTATAACTTGTAACGGAGCATTGCACAAATGACACGAAGGGCGCGTGACAGCACTTATGCATAAAGCGTTGATATGCATTCTCTAGCTGTGATGAACCAGAAGTGTCAGGTGCCAATTCTTGTTAACCTATTTTAGTCGCAATTCCTTCGTGGGAAGCTCGTGTCACGTCGCGCTCAGTAGTGAGAGAGGTGCAATAGTTCGTGCCCCCCATAGTTAAGCGTCACAGTCGTAAGTTCACATATTTTACGCGTTCGATTGAGCCAGCACCCCACACAGAGATATAGAGCTGGTGGGAATTCTCAAAGGTCCACTGAGTATAGCTGTACTGTATAATCTAGTTGCTGCTTATTCGCGCTTATACAAGTTCTGGTATAGAACACATCTTTTCGGCACGTGATACTGTAATTGTTGCTCTCTGAGCATCTAATTGCAGTTCTTGAGCGAGTTATTTAATTAGGCCATCTATATTAGTGGGCCTAATATAACTTTTCAAATTTATTTCAGGCTCCCGTTATGGATGAGTATGAAAGAGAGTTTGGCGATCTCCTCTACTTGAGAAGCAAGCCTACGGTCTATGAAAGGTTTTACAATGATAACATAAAAAACATGGTAACGAAGTACAACTTTCTTCCGGCGGAGCTCATTGAATGCAGAATGCAAAGCCTCTGGAAGAAGCTTCTGGCAAAAAATCCTGCTTTAAGGTATGCAGTTTATCTAGTTATCTGTTATCCTGTTGTGGTTTTTTTTTTTAGTTCCTGTGACAAGACACATTATAAGCTAAAACAGAACGAATAATTGAATAATTTAGCTGTCTCTGTCTGTGATACATTGAATTATTTCTGACATTTAAAAATGCAGACTGATGTCTAAAAATAAGATACTGGCATGTTACATGTGCAATATGCAGCAGTTCATGTTTTTTTGTGTGTATGTGAACATTTTCCGAATTGAATGTACACATTGATTCCATGCATAATGATAGAGTTTTCTCAATATTTTTATACACACATGAGAATGCCATGTATGAGATCGCCAGGCTGAAAATACAGGTAAAGTTGTTAAAATTATGCTCCCTCGTCACATGGTCCCCAAAATGCCTTGAGTACTGACAATAAGGATTTGCATATTAAGTGTTGTCACATTTTCTCAAAATGTCAGATCAAATCTATATTAGGCACAGCATAAAGGGACTTTTAATTTGGGCCCTGCTAAACCTTTTGTGCAAGCCCAAAGGCATACAAAAGTCAGTGCTTACAATGCCTTGCAATATTCGCCAAGAAATTTCACGACGAAAATGTTATGAGATCACAACAGGAGTCGTTTTTGGCGCTGTAGTTGTCCGCCAACGCCTCCACTGTTGTCGATGTCTGTAACCACTACCGCGAAACAGGAAAAAGACTAACTAAATGAAAAATGCCGAGGACAGAATCGGATTCGAACCAGGGCCATCACTGTGCCAGCCCCGTATTCTATAAACTGAGCTGCACTGGCGCTTGAAACATCGTTGCAAACCGAGCCCAGGCAGGCTTCATGTTGGGTAAAGAATCGCATAATTATATTTAATAAAACGTTTTCATACAGCAAAGGAACAACCAGGTGTCACGCAATGTTGATTGTGTAATGAGTCGGTCGTTGAGGGCTTCAACCGCTTAAAAAAACTGCAGGCATAATTTTTCATTCGTCGTCAGCCACAGCATCAACAATATGCACATAAATCCTTGCAAGTCTGTAGTGAGTACCACACTTCTCCGAAGAATGATGAATAATGGCATAGTGGAAACTTACACACTACACAGAAATTATGATGATTTATGGCATTGTGGGTACTGTGCAAGTGTGATTCTAGCAGTTACCCAAAGAGTGTAAAAAAGGCTCTATAAAGGCCGCCCTTCAAGATTTTGCTTTGCCTGTGCTGTGTTCCGCAGGCATGGTGTTTTTTTTTTAAAGAACTTGATAACAAGTATAACGGTGTTTTCCATGAGAACAGTGAAGGAGCCCTTCCGTAGTGAAGGGCTCCGGAAATTTCAACCACCTGGGGTTCTTTAATGTGCACACGAATCTGAGCACACGGGCATACAGCATTTTCACCTTCATCGAAAATGCAGCCACCATAGCCGGGCTTTGCTCCTGCGACCGACGGGTCAGCAGACGAGGGCTGTAGCCACAAGGCTACCGCGGCGGCGCTTTTTTTTCCCCGAGCACAGACGGTAATGAGGAGTAACCTGCTTGTAACCTTTTTCTTTTCTTCCCTCTCTCTTTCAATGGAGCAATAAAGAGTGGCATCTCACAATCATGTTTAACAGCAACAGAGCAAAGAGGACAATTAGCAACTGCCATTTTTGCACTTACAAAATGTTATAAAGAATGGGCAAATGTTAGAGCTTTTCTTTGGAAGTAGCTCACGTCCATGAACAATCGGCATATGGCCTTCATTCATGGGCTGTTGTGCTTATGAGCGTGGCTCAAATTCTGCAGAAGAAGTGAACAATATGTTATGCAATATTCCTAGCTCTCTTACATGCATGCTGAATGTTTGACTTGCGTGTTCACAATGGCATCGTTGAAGATTCTGTCAATAGCGAAGATTGTCTAAAGCCATTCGGAAACCTACATATGTGTCTTATGCATTCGTCCCCAAAAAATACCTGTAGTGCACTCGTTGTGTTTAATTATTGCCCTTACATAGAAATTTATCTTCCAGGAGCAGGCATGAAAGTAACATCAGAGACGCAAAGCTCCTCTGTGCAAAGAACAAGCAAGCAAAGACCAGGCAAAGGTGAATACAATACTTCCGCATACACAAAAGTGCATTCATAACAATAAAACTATTAATAATATAATAGTCATTGTGAGGAAGACCTTGGAAGCATGATGCTTTTTATATTTTCTAACAGAAGACCCAAGGAAATTGCCCAATCATGTTACAAGCCACGACGAAGATGTTCCCAGAGATCAGAATCCTTGACACACCATGATGAGGATGAAGACTGTGAAGGGGACCTCTTCCAAACCCCACTTCCTGGCTTTAAGACCAAGACGTATAACAGAAGGGCTGTGGAGAATCGTTACAGGCCACTAATATACGGGTCACCAGACACTCAACAACTGTCCCAAAAGAGACTGAAAGACCAGCAACACCCCAACACAGTGACGATGAAAAAGAACGAGAAAAAGACCAAGACGATGATCCTTCATCAACAAGTGACAAGACAAGCGAAGCGAGCCAAAGTGATGCATCAGAAGAACACTCATCGGATGACAGTACAGGCATCTCTGATGAGGTATGCAATGGCGATGTTGTGTCCATATCTAACCATCTCACGATAAAACATGAACCCTCATTTCACACAACCAAGGACAAACAGAACAGCCTGATCTGTAAGAATGAACTGACCACTGCAGCTGTTAGAAAGTACAATGAGTCAGATGTTGCTGCGAAAGCAACAGTGGCAGAATCAGGCCATGCAATGCTGCACCATGTCACAACTGATGCAATGAGAAATGTTAATCTACTGGAGCGAAAAGTAGATGCGACCAAGCAACTGGACACGGTCATCGAAGATAAAAAACGTGATACTAATTCGGTGGCACATGTGGACAAAGACACAGAGAACATCGGTGATGTTACCACGCACTTTGCTACGCAGACAACGGTAACAATTTCTGCAAGTGAGACTGACGAAGAAGATGAAGATAGCGCTGCACTTGAGACCAGTGGCAGCAGTGAGGAAGGTATTCCAAAACAGCCAAACAAATTGAGACAGTCCGACACCACAAGTTTGTCGGAAGATGATGCGCAAGACAAACCCACAGCTGACGACTCTAAAGAAAGCTGCAGTAGCTTTACAAGTCACAGTTACGAAGAAGCTGCTACTGCACGGTTGCAGATATGTGATAAGAGTGAAGCAAAGCCGCTACATGGAGAGGAGAGCAAACGAAAAGGACAACAAAGACAATGGGATCAGACAGCTCAAGGAAAGTGACACTTCGGTAACGCAACCACATGAAGCAGTCACACCAGAAAAGCCAATTACATCTGGATCAGGAAACTGACAGCGGTGAGGTGATCGGGTTCGGCGAGCTACAGAGATCAAGGAAATCATCAGAGGAACTCTGTGTAAGAAAGCCACAGAATGAAAGCACAAACTCAAGTTACGACAGATACAAAGTCGTTTCAAAGGCATCGCAGCCCAGAGAAACAGAAAATATACAGGCTGAGAAGTCGAATTGCACAAGTGCCACAAACAAGCAAGAACCTCAAGAAGCAGCCACGGGACACAAACTAAGCAGACGTGCTGAAGGCAGGCATGTCAAGACAAAGCTATCTCTCAGTTACCTAACTAAAAAGATGGCTGGAAACTATTCCGAACATTCATTAGAGGACAATTTTAATGATAAAAAATTAGAAAGCAAGCAAGAACCTGTTCCAGATGCCACTATGCCAGCAGCAAACAAATATCATGCCAAAAATGAGAATGACATTCACAAGAATGAGGCAGGGGTCTCCTGTGCTGAAAAAGGGCACAAGATATGCAATAAGACCTTTGATGACAAATGGTCCCATGAGGCTGGTGATAAAAATGGTAAACTGAACGACAGGCAAAAACATACGTCAGTTTCTCGAAATGCTACAGTGTCAATGTTGTCAAACAAAAGCGATGCTTCAGTCCTCACTGAACTTCATGAACAGCACAAGACCTGCAAGGAGCCATCCACTAACAAAACCTTTGCAGATGTCAGAAGGAAGAGTGACATAGAAGGGGACAACAGGCAGAAACCTGCTTCACTCTGGCAATATAAAACAACAAGCAAACTGGGCAAAAAGAGTACAAGTGACAAGAATTGTGTTCAGAAGAATGTCACGGTGGTCTCCACTGATGACATTGGACATAAGGCATGCAAAATGCCAGAGGCAGACAAATGCCATGTGGACACTGGCAACACTGACAAACCAAATGGGCAACGACCTGCTTTAGTTAATAAATGTATTAACGTTAAAAGCGAGAACGATGCTCACAGAAATACTGCAGTTGTTTCTCAACCTCATGAAATCAGCAAAAAGGCATTCACTGACAAATGTCCCTAGAAATGTTGACAACAGGAGTAAAAAACTGATGATTGCACAAACTGCTTCAATTTTACAACATGCGACTATGCCAGACTCAAAAGCAACCAATGACAAGAGAAGAAATAATGTTCAGGAGAGTGCCAAAACAGCTTCTCAAGCTTACAAAGGCTGCAACATACATAAAGAGTTGCCACAGCAGCCTTTGGACATTGATAAGAAGGGCAGCAAAGTAACTGAAGCAGTGACCAAGAGCATTGATGAAAAAGATGACACACAAAGTGCATCCACAGTGTGTGAAAAGCAAAAAGAACAAAAGAAGACAAATGAAAACCCACAAGTGGGGCAAAGTGACGGCAAAAAGAAATCTGGACAAACCATGGCAAGCAAAAGGTGCATCGAAAGCAGGGGCAATACTTGGATTCACATTGCACCCGACTTACAGCAGGTGAAAAGAAGAACGAAACAGCAGGAAAGGATGAAATAGGCAATGATATGATGCAGGGACCAGTGAGGGACATTGTTTGCATGCAAACATACACACGAAAGAATGCAAAGAGCAGTGAAACACCAGGCCAAACAGCCATTGCATACCCCGCACGACGTATCAGTAAGGATGCCATTGCCGATCCAGCAGAGCTTGAAAAGTTGAAAAGTACTAGCAAAGAACTACAAGAGGACACAACAAGCAGCGACACTAATAACAAGTTGGTACTGAGCAAGAAGTTTACTGAAGGTAGCAAGGCAGCTACAAACTACGCTACAACTACTTCTGCGGAAAGTCAAGGACAAAGGAAAGTACGGGGAAAGACTGTGACAAGTTGTCCAACGCCCATGGCAAAAGTCTCAGCAGCCAAGGCCACACGAAAGGCAGTAGCTACAAAATGCTACGATAACACTGAGGCCATTTCTGACAAAGAAAATGGCAAGCCTCTGTGCAGCCCTCCTAGGGCAGATGCCACACGTACAGATTTTGGAGACAATGTGCTGGCTAAAGATAGTTTCAAAACTCCAAAGTCTGTAAAATCAGTGGAACTTATATGCCCACAAACGCCACGAAAGCGTAGAAGTCTCAGGCAAAGGAATCTAAAAACACATGTCCTTGGAAACAGTGAAGATCTGGTAGATGAGCAACAAAGTGATCCAGAAACTCCACTAGGCATTAGAACCAAGTGCATGAAAGAACGTGCAAAGAAGGCCACTGGGACTGAGAAAAGACATCAGAACCAGAGAGAAAAGATGTACAGTAAACAAAAGCAACAACTTCAAGAAAAGGATGAAGCATGGATGGAAATCGAGACTGAGAACAAAGAAGAAATTGAGATTGATCCAAGAAATATGGAATGGCAGGAACTCACTCAGAGTTCTAAGCCCAACTCTAAACAACCTACGACATCTACTTTTGTTGGTGACAACATTGCGTGGGAACAAATGTCAACGTGTAGCAAAAATTGTCAGTCAAGACAAAGGTAGCAGTGTAAATATACTGCAACTGTCAGGGTCTATGAAAGGAAACACGTTGAATGGTAAGCTACGGCAAAGTGACCTTAACTTGACTGATATGTCTCAGACAAGAAGCTCCGACGACCTTCGTGGATTGACACAGTGCCGCATTCAACATTCAGGAACACACAAAGAGAAAGCAGTGCAGGATTTGTTCCTGACCACAGATATGAGAGAGGACAGTGGAAGTGAAATGGAATTAGGACGAGAATGAATATTCAAGTTGCTTGTCACAAATGTCGAGTCGCATGCAAGCCTGCGGTCTTTACTCGCAAAACGAAGCCAGAGCAGCTGCCACTCGAATCAATGCTACAGGAGGTGTTCTTGGAAAAAAACCAAAAGCTGGCTCAGTCCAGAAAGATCGAGGACAAACAGCAAAGAGATCGTATCCGGTGCTAAGTGAAAATGAACAAGTAGGGAAACATGAGATGCCAAAGGAAGCAAACAATGAAAGAAACGAAGTACACAATTTGAACGCAGAATTTGAAGATGACGATGACGACTATGCATCTTCCTTTTTATTTGGTCCTGATGATGATGCAGCCACATCTGGTGGATCACTCGGCTTTTTAAAAATAAATCTCACTCCAACTCCACTCAACTTCCTGAAAACCTCCGGTGGCAGAAATAATTCAGAGTCTGAAGAAGAACTGTTCCCGTGGCTCGCAGACAATCCTGAGCCCGAAACAAACAAGAGAAAATCAAGGCCATCATCTCGGGATGACCCTCGTAAAAATGGCACGAACAGACCAGATGCTAAGCGGGTGCGTTTTCAGCAGGAAGATTCTGGGACGCCTGCCAAGAGGGTGACAAATGTCGGTACACTAGCCCATACACTACAAAGTGTATGGGATATGACAGAACAACTTTTCCCATCCATTCCTACGCACAAAAACGCGTAAGGTCTTTTCTAGCCTATTGCAATGGCATGCTTACCATGCTATTGCAAAGCCTGCCTGTTTTAATTGTTCCATCTGTGTTGGAAAAGAAAAATGAACAAAACTTGCATGAACTCTTTCATCTTTCCCCACTGGCCATCATACTCAGACTACGCACGTGAGTTTGCATGCCAGACATTTTGACCGCGATATGTGGGAGCAAGCACAGTCTTTTGGGAATCCTCACATGGCATGCCCTTTTGTTGTAATACGCGATGAAACATTCGGCAATTCCAAAATACATGACTTGTTCACAAGAGACAAACTTGAGAGCTGCTAACATTCTAAGCAGTAATGGATTTAAACAAGCAACAGGTTAAACGAGACTGAAACAAAAGAAGAACTTGCGATTGATCAAAGAAATATGGTGAATGGAGAACTCACCAGAGTCTAAGCCCCAACTCTAAACAACTCTACGACATCACTTTTTTGGGACAACATTGCGTGGAACAATGTCAAAGTGTAGCAAAAATTGTCAGTCAAGACAAAGGTAGCATGTAAATATACTGCCCGTCAGGGTCTATGAAAGGAAACACGTTGAATGGTAAGCTACGGCAAAGTGACCTTAACTTGACTGATATGTCTCAGACAAGAAGCTCCGACGGACTTCGTGGATGACACAGTGCCCGCATTCAGCATTCAGGAACACACAAAGAGAAGCAGTGCAGGATTTGTTCCTGACCACAGATATGAGAGAGGACAGTGGAAGTGAAAGGAATTAGACGAGAATGAATATTCAAGTTGCTTGTCACAAATGTCGAGTCGCATGCAAGCCTGCGGTCTTTACTCGCAAAACGAAGCCAGAGCAGCTGCCACTCGAATCAATGCTACAGGAGGTGTTCTTGGAAAAAAACCAAAAGCTGGCTCAGTCCAGAAAGATCGAGGACAAACAGCAAAGAGATCGTATCCGGTGCTAAGTGAAAATGAACAAGTAGGGAAACATGAGATGCCAAAGGAAGCAAACAATGAAAGAAACGAAGTACACAATTTGAACGCAGAATTTGAAGATGACGATGACGACTATGCATCTTCCTTTTTATTTGGTCCTGATGATGATGCAGCCACATCTGGTGGATCACTCGGCTTTTTAAAAATAAATCTCACTCCAACTCCACTCAACTTCCTGAAAACCTCCGGTGGCAGAAATAATTCAGAGTCTGAAGAAGAACTGTTCCCGTGGCTCGCAGACAATCCTGAGCCCGAAACAAACAAGAGAAAATCAAGGCCATCATCTCGGGATGACCCTCGTAAAAATGGCACAAACAGACCAGATGCTAAGCGGGTGCGTTTTCAGCAGGAAGATTCTGGGACGCCTGCCAAGAGGGTGACAAATGTCGGTACAACTAGCCCATACACTACCAAGGTGTATGGGATATGACAGAACACTTTTCCCATCCATTCCTACGCACAAAAACACGTAAGGTCTTTCTAGCCTATTGCAATGGCATGCTTACCAAGCTATGCAAGCCTGCCTGTTTTATCGTTCCATCTTTGTTGGAAAAATGAACAAAAACTTGCATGAACTCTTTCATCTTTCCCACTGGCATCTCATCAGACTACGCACGTGAGTTTGCATGCCGACATTTTGACCGCGATATGTGTGGGAGCAAGCACAGTCTTTCTGGATCCTCACATTGGCATGCCCTTTTTGGTTGTAAATACAGCGATGAAACATTTCTGGGCATATTCCAACAATATCAGTGAGCAGAGTTGTTTCTCACAATGAGACAATACTTGAGAGCTGCTTAACACTTATAGTGACATAAGCATAGTAAGCTGGAACCTTTAAACAGAGCTAACATGGTATCATCCACTCTTAAAGGCAACAGATAATCAATATATTGCTAGCAAGGCCAAGATGCCCAAAGACAATTCCTCAATGCATAAATGACCAGCCTTGTATGTCACATCGGGTACACTTTTCCAATATGTCAAAGAAATATCTCAGTTCTATTGGGTTTATTAACAGCAAATACTGTAAACAAAATAGCATCAGCCCAGTTACAAGTCACAAAGTTTGTCATGGCAAGCGATGCACACATGAACCTGTATTTAGATAGTTCCTGCAAGTTCGGTTCAAGTTCTCTGTAATAAACTTATAAGGCACGAACTGTCAAGCCACCTTTTCAAGGCTTTTTTGAGAGAATGCAGCTAGAACTGCAACAAGAAGTGGTGACTTTTAGCTGCTCAAAAGCTGGTAGAGGTTTTTACAATGTCCATGCATGCTATTCACTCTTCCTGTCAATTCAGCATGCCAAGTTTAATACTGGCTTGTTGGGCGTTTTGTGAGGAGTGACCTCTGTTCAAAAGTAATCACTTCTGGCATGAAGCAGTACTGAGACTGTAAAAAAACAGCAGGAGCAGCACATCACATGATCAATTGGTCATTTCAGGATGACACCGACCACTCATCAGTGCACGGTAGTCTCCCGCCACTCCTGTCTCGTCGTGAAGCAGAGTTCTTCGCATTTGATGATGACGAAGACCGTGGTCATGTTACCGATGGCGACTATGAAGTTTAAAGGCCTGGGTTTTCCATCAATTTAGTTTGTTGTGCCAAGGTTGACACAGAGTTTATTGCAGTGTTTTCAAGAGTGAAAAACAAGAAGCCATTAAGTTAACACATATGTAAAAACCGGTAGGGCTACCGCTATTTTATTGTCAGAGTCTTTTTCGGGTAAAGTTTGAGTTGTTACAGAGTCTGTTTTGGATTTATTGTAACAATCTCTAAAGTGAAATAAAGTTCCATTAATGTTTCAGCCAACATAAGCACATTTTTCTCAGCGATGCAGAAGGCATCAATTGTAAGCAACACTTCACACTCAACACCACTAAAGGTCTAGCTTCCTTTTGGGTCACTTTCTCACATAACAGGCCTCAGGTCAAGGTTGAACTCCTAGACTTAGTATTCCAGAGATACTATCGCCAATCTCAGCCCATAGACTTTCTATATATACACTAGAGGGACCTCTTGTGCTAGTGCCTATGGGAGCTGCAATGCACAGCGCTTCAGTGAGCATGGGAAGGATGGTTAGTACAAGGAATTGTCTAATTTTCGTACTTCTGGCTCCGTGTGTGTTCGTGTGGCTTGGAGCTGCCTTCTCACGAAAGAAAAATCAGCAAATGATTAGAGGTTGCGCTTCAACACCTTATTTTTTTAGGCTTGCGATTTCAAATCAAGTCACTGAGTTCAAAAGGCTTTATTCTTTCCTTCGAAACAAAACCAGAACACTGCAATAAACGAAGCCACAGGTGCGATTCGCCACCCCCAAGCACGAAGACTAGGCAAATCCGTGTACTACCTATTATTCCCATGGTCGCTGAACGATTGCAGCGCCAGAGTGCTCTCTAGTTAATTTTAGGAAACTCCATGTCTCAGCCAACTTAACATTTTAATTTCTAGCTGCAGTTTAATGGGACCTATTAATAGAGTGATGATGTTTATTTAACCAGAGGTGTTGCAACGAGGTCGCAATGGAAAATGGCCGTACGGCAAAGCCTGGCAAAGGCTGCACAGGTTTTTGCGTGATCAGAGCGCAGGGCTTTTCGTTCTGTTCTGAAGGCGCATACGCGTTAGTGTGTATGCTTCACTACAATACCCCCCCCCCCCCGGGGTGAAGTGTAGCCATCCTGGCGACTCAGGGAGTTCGCGCAATGAGGGGGTCGTAGTAGGGCTTGAGACGGTCGACGTGTAGGGTCTCGCGTCCTCGACTGCTCAAATCTGGTGATTGTGTTAGGGGCTCGATGATGTAAGTCACCGGCAAGGTCGCGTCGATGACACGGTACGGACCATGGTGCCGGGCCAGAAGTTTAGAAGAACGGCCAGGAACGTGCGGGGGCACCCAAAGCCACACAAGGGAGCCAGCACGAAACGTAGGAGCTATGTGATGAACGTCGTCATGTCGAGTCTTTTGTAGATCTTGAGCCTCACTAGTCCGAGACAGAGCCAACCGATGGCAGTCTTCAGCGTACCTGGTGACTTCAGAAAGCGGAGAGCACTCAGATGCATCAGGCCAGTACGGGAGTATAGTTTCCAGTGGGTGGTGCGGGGGCACCCAAAGCCACACAAGGGAGCCAGCACGAAACGTAGGAGCTCTGTGATGAACGTCGTCATGTCGAGTCTTTTGTAGATCTTGAGCCTCACTAGTCAAAGACCGAGTCAACCGACAGCAGTCTTCAGTTTACCTGGTGACTTCAGAAAGTGGAGAGCACTCAGATGCATCAGGCCGGTACGGGAGTATAGTTTCCAGTGAGGGGGAAGGTTCGCGGCCGTACAACAGAAAGAACGGGGAAAAACCAGTAGTCGTTTGCATCGCGGTGTTATAAGGGAAGGTAACATAAGGTAATACAGCGTCCCAGTTGGTGTGGTCGGAGGAAGTGTACATCCACAGCATGTCACCATGTGTGCAGTTGAACCGCTCGGTGAGGCCATTTGTCTGTGGATGGTATGCGGTAGATTTCCGGCGGATGATGTTGCATTCAGCGAGAATAACTTGGATGACCTCCGACAGGAACACTTGACCCCTATCACTCAGTAATTCCTGTGGAGCACCATGGCGGAGAATGAAGCTGCGCAGAACTAAGAGTGCAACTTCGTGGGCGGTCGCTGCTGATAGAGCTGCAGTCTCAGCGTAGCGTGTCAGATGATCGATGCTGACAATAATCCACTGGTTTCCAGAGCCACTATATGGGAGGGGGCCATAGAGGTCGATACCCATGCGGTCGAATGGGTGAGCCGGGCATGGGAGCGGCTGTAACATGCCAGTAAGGTACCGCAGAGGTGTCTTGTTTTGTTGGCAAGTGGTGCAAGACTGAACGTATTTCTGCACAAAGCGATACATTCCTCGCCAGTAATATTGCTACGTAGCTATTGCATGAAAGGTGAATCATTCTGTGATCAGAACACGACGAAGAGGATTGGTTTGCTCGCTCTGTGTGCTGCGCTCCGATTTTATCAGTGTAAATACACTGGCAAATAGTCACGTCCCGTCTCATCTTACATAACATATTTGCTAGTGCGACAGGTACTGGCATCGTTACTCAGCACCTCCACCACAAATATATTACGTAAAATGAGATGTGACGTGACTATTCGCCAGTGTATTTACACCGATAAAATCGGAGCGCAGCACACAGAGCGAGCAAACCAGTCCTCTACATCGTCTTCTGATCACAGAATGGTTCACCCTTCATGCAATAGCTATGTATGTAGCAATATCGTTGGCGCCGCCTTTCGTAGGTTTTTTGGACACCTGCGTAAGCACTTTGGGGATCTGCATGGAAATTCGTGCAGATGTCGGAGTACATATGAGTAGGGACAGCAAGGAGCCACTTCCGACCACCAGGCATGTAGTTGCGGTGGTACAGAACATTGTCCCGCATGGAAAAGTGGGCTGCTTGCCGGCGTAGCACTCTTGTGGAAGAGACAGCAGATGGATCGGTAAGGCAGTCGAGTAATAAGGCAAGGTATGGGTCTTTAAGCTACTCTGAAAGCATGTCAGTGGTTTCGAGTGGTGACAAGGTGGTAAAAAGGGGTCACAAAGAAGCCATATCTGGTGTTAATGGCGATCGGGAAAGTGCATCGGCATCTTCATGCTTGCGACCTGAACGATATATGACACGGATGTCGTATTCCTGCAATCGAAGTGCCCAACGTCCCAGGCGTCCGGACGGGTCTTTCAAGGTGGACAGCCAACATAGAGCGTGGTGGTCTGTGACTACGTCGAAAGGACGGCCATAAAGGTACCGGCAAAACTTCGTCAACACCCAGATTATGGCCAAACACTCCTTCTCTGCGACGGAGTGATTCAATTGAGCCTTCTTGAGAGCGCGACTTGCATAAGCGACTACGTATTCGGCTTGGGTGCCTTTCCGTTGTGCCAAAACTGCACCAAGACCGACGCCACTTGCATCGATGTGAATTTCTGTGGTAGCAGTGGGGTCGTAGTGACAAAGAATAGGTGGTGAGGTCAGCAGGCGGCACAGCTGGCGAAATGCGTTGTCACATGCAGGTGACCATGCAGATATACCTTTGCTGTTGGAAAGCAGACTCGTCAGAGATGCGATGACGGACGCGAAGTTGCGTACGAAGCGACGAAAGTAGGAACAGAGACCAACGAAACTTCTTAGGTCTTTGAGTGATGTGGGCATTGGGAAGTCAGCGATAGCTCGAAGCTTATTGGGATTCGGAAGAACATCGTCTCTTCTGATAACATGTCTCAAGATGGTTAGTTTTCGTGCTGCGAAGTGGCACTTCTTGGTGTTAAGTTGTAGGCCTGCAGAAGTTAGACACATCAGAATCTTGTGGAGACGACCAAGATGTGTCGGGAAATCAGCTGAAAAGACTACGATGTCGTCCAGGCAACACAAGCAAGTTTTCCATTTGTGGGCACGCAAGATGGTATCGATCATGCGCTCTAATGTCGCAGGCGCGTTGCAGAGCCCAAATGGCATGACTTTGAACTCATATAGGCCATCCGGCGTTACAAAGGCTATTTTAGGGCGATCACATTCAGCCATTGGCACCTGCCAATACCCAAAACACAGATCCAAGGATGTAAAGTACTCGACTCCTTGTAAACAGTCGAGAGTTTCATCTATTCATGGTAGCGGGTAGACATTCTTCTTCGTAATCTTGTTTAAGCGGCGATAGTCCACACAAAATCGAACAGTGCCATCTTTTTTCTTTACCAGAACCACAGGTGATGACCAAGCGCTTTGAGAAGGGTATATGACTCTATGTTTAAGCTTGTCATCTACTTGCTCCGTAATGACGCGGCGCTCTTCGGCAGAAACACGGTAAGGACGCTGTCACAGAGGGGAGTGTGAGCCAGTGTCAATAGTATGAGTGATAGTCGTGGTGCGGCCCAAAGCAGGTTCTTGAAAGTCGAAAGATGAGCGAAACTTTTTAAGGAGAGCAACAAGTTAGCGACTGCGAGGGGGGAAGGTCTGCATCAATAGCATTGTCGAAGGCTGACGTACTTGATAGCTCAGACGCATGAGTGATTGCGGCAATGTGACATGGGGTTTCGTCGGGAAGAATAATATCATCGATATCATCAACAGGTTGTATATACCCTAAGGTTTCGTCACGGAGTAAGCCAATGGGGTAGTTGCAGTGGTTGGTAACCAGCATTACAGTGGAACCAGACGCAATTGTAAGTACGGCAAATGGGAGAACGATGCCCTTGCGTTCAGTAAAAACCGGAGATGGCGTAAACACCACCGTGGCGTCAGGTTGCGTCATACGTGAAAGGTTAATAGAGACTGGAGTTTCCGGAGGCAAGGTGATGTCATCGTCAGCGATGAGTTTGCAGAGCAGAGGAGAACGATTGGGTGATGGAAATTCACATGTTGGCGCAAGGGAAGCTTTCGCACGTAAACAATCGATGATAGCTTCATGACGTGATAAGAAATCCCAACCCAGGATAAGGTCATGAGAGCAAGATGGTAGAACAAAAAATTTAACGATGCACCTAACGTCTTGGATGACGATGCGTGCCGTACACACAGCCGAGGGATGAATGCGTTGTGCGCGAGCCGTGGCGAGCACCATGCCACAGAGAGACGTGGTGACTTTCTTCAGTTTTTGACAACATTTTGCGTTCATCACAGAAACAGCGGCCCCAGTATCAATCAACGCTAGTGTGGCGACTCCCTCAACATCGACATCAACACTTTGTGGCGAAAATGGAGGCCTTGAGAATTGTGCAGAGGTTGCAGTTCTTGCCTCCGGAACTACACTCCTCAGGAGGTGGTCGACGA